TTTTTTTAAACGATAGAAAATTTCATATCATAAAAAACAGAACAACAATCCGAGAGTCTGAATAGACCATATAAGTTCAGAAATAACAAACACAAGGAGGTCATCAACATGATGCCTAGACTCACCACTCCCAAATTACAAATGAAAATAAAATAGAGGCAGTGATAACTGGATCCTCTATCTACCATAAATACAAGCAATCAAGTTCTTAGACTCACCAGACTTACAACTTGAATTTACAGATTACTATGGAGAGTTAACAATCAACAACTAATAACAAACCACTCCCAAAAAATAGACTAAACAAAGACCGAAACTAACACTACAAAACAACACACCCCTATAATGTTAGCTTTTGGGACTCTTTTCGAGCACTAGAGAGGTCTTTCTTGCCGGTGAAGGACATGTGGTTCATTGAGACTTGGGAAATGGATAGGTTAGAAAGAGAGTTGGGTACTACCATTTATTAATTAGGTCAGATCCAGCAGATTCCTATATCGGAGGACGGTTCAGACGGTATGAGGTGGAGACTTACATCTTCGGGTGCATTTTCAAGGACCTCGGCTTGGGGGAAGTACGACTGGGTGACCAACCTAACCTTCTTTTCAGGGCCATTTAGATCGACTTGTTTACCCCGACCATCTCTGTTTTTCCTTGGCGTCTTCTTCTTCATCGGATTTCGATTGACTCTGTCTTGCAGGTGAGAGTGAATTTTTTCCACTCGCGTTGTTATTGTTGTACCGAAACCGGTGATTTGCAGACTGAGACTTTTTGCCATTTGTTTTTAGAGAGTGAGGTTGCGAGGAGAGTGTGTGAGCACTTCGCCACTTATACTCATATACCCCTACCCACTACAGACAATTTCTTTGTGTTCCTAGGTTTTTTCCCACAGCCACACATTTTAGACACGTGGACTTCCTCATTCCTTATTTGATCATGTGGTTCATCTGGGCAGAGAAGAAGCATAGGGATATTACTTTTATGTGATCTCACATTGTTTAGGCACTTCAGATCCGTCTTCAGATTGCAACCTCTATCTCGTCTAACATTTGGATTGAGCTGGATGCTGCCGCTGTTGCCACCCTCTTGACCTCGAGTTATCAGTGCTCGTGGCAGGTTCAACACCCGTTCATGTGCATAAGATCCACACTTCAGTCGGTTAGCTACCGGATCTCACACATCTTCCGCGAGGATAAAATGACCTGCCATTGAGGTCAAGAACTGTAGGACCTACACGGAGGTCGAAATCTGAAAGACCAATGAGGTTGAAATCGAATAACCTGCCACTCAGGTCGAACACTGAATGGAATTTCCACTGAGGTAAAAAACTCAGTGTACTGTTAATGAGGTCGAAAACCAAATGACCTACCACTAAGGTTGAGAATCGTATGACTACAGGAAAGTCGAAAACTGAAAGACCACTGAGGTAAAAAATTGAATGACCTGCCGCTGAGGTCAAATACCCAATGAGCTTCCACTAAAGGCAAGCGACCTGTCAATGATGGCGAAAACCGAATGATCTGACACCACCTTCAGGTCGAACCTTAATTTCTAGAGTAAATTTTTTTGCTCCTCATTTTGATATGTCGACCTTCCTTTGTATTCTTTTGACCTGCATACTTGGACTTCCATGATACTTTGATAGATTTTCTCGACTTCTCCCCGAATCTTGATTTTGAAAATTTGAACTCACATTTATTGTTTTTCGGCCACCATGTTCGAGCTCTTTTCGCTCAAAGATAAACTTTTTCGACCACCTCGTCTTGTCGTCCCTCGTTTCAAAATTTGAAAGTCAACATTTTCGTATCACACTTAATGTGCTTGTTGTTTCCACTTTCTCGATTAATCTTGCTCATCGATTTCGACCTACCTCTGACGGTGTAAGTGCTCAACCTTTTTTTTTTAGGTATGCCACGAGGTCTGCGAATAAATCCATAAACCACACCAAGGAAAAACCTTCCACCTGCCACCGAGGTTTGCTAATACGCTCCGTGAATTACTTTAAGTGAACTCCATCGACTTGCCACCAAGGTCAAATGACAAAATTCGACAAAATAAAACGAAGTAAAACCATCGACCTGCCACCGATGTCTACCAATAAGCTCTGTGAATTGCACCAAGTGAACTCTATCGGCCTGCCACTAAGGTCGAAAGACAAATTCGACAAAATTAAATCAAGTAAAAATCATCGACCTGCCACCGAGGTCTACCAATAAGCTCCGAGAATTGCTCTAATTGAACTCCATCGACCTGTCACTGAGACCGAAAGACAAATTCGACAAAACCACCAAGTAAAAATCATTGGCTTGCCACCGAGGTCTACCAATAAGCTCCGAGAATTGCTCCAATTGAACTTTATCGACCTGCCACTGAGGTCGAAAGACAAATTTGATAAAATCAAACCAAGTAAAAACCATCGACCTACCACCGAGGTCTACCAATAAGCTCTGTGAACTGCACCAAGTTAACTCCATCGACCTGCCACTGAGGTCGAAAGACAAATTCGACAAATCAAACCAAGTAAAAATCATCGACCTCCCACCGAGGTCTTAATCCAGATAGATTTTTTTCTTCGACTACTTGCCCACCTTAAATGGATATTCCAGAAACAAGCGGCCACCCAAGCCGAATCAATAAAAGGAATATTGCTAGCATTTAGTGATATTTAAAGATGGATGACCCAATCTTTTGTTCCATGATTCCAAAGTTTGCACATGATTAACTGAACAAGAGTAAGTTTGACAAGTCTGAAATAGGAGAAACATGGTTATTGAAAGCAGTAAAAAGCTGATGTAGGTGCTACTGATGAAGTTGAAGTGGTATCCATTGTTGCTTTAATTTCTCAGGTTGAACTGGTACAAGCCATCTTTAAGTGTCCCGCTCTGATACCATGTTGGTATCAATCGAGATCATCATAGAGTAGAATAAAATCCGCGCTAGAGTAGAGATAAGAGCTGGAGATAACCTTAAGCTTGTTTCTTGTAGTGAGATTACTTTGTAGTTTTCAAGTGATGACATCTTAATATAATCATTCATTCTATTTTACATGAAGTTACATTATTTATCAATTTATTGATTTTGCAATCACGACTAAAGCAAATGTTCACAAACTTAATCTAGTGAAAAGCCTACAACTTAATTATTATAATAACAATAGCGTTTGAATATTACTTGCCACATATCGCTTGTTGACAAATACCACTCATGATTATATTGATTGAGATACAAATGTGTGTGTGTGTGTGTTTTGTGCGTGTAGTTGCGGTTTTGTGGTTAGGTCTCACGGGGAATCCACCATTTCAGAACCTCACGAGAGACACACACACATTCACACTCTCCCTCAAAATGTGAAGATTCGTTGGCTGCCCCCACCAATTTCCTCTTAATTTACGGCCACACCACGTTTAATTTCCAGCACATATATATCAACAGTTACACCAAATATTCATAGACATATATGTGTGTGTGTGCATAGTGATATTCACACGTATAGAGTTGTTATTCGAGCGAGTCGAGCCGAGCCTAACTGAATAGCTTATGTTTGCGTTTGTGTTCGTTTGCATGTAACAGAATAAAAAGGTTTGGCTCGGCTCGACACGTTTAATAAATCTAAAATTCGAAACGAGTTGCTCGCGAACATGTCTGACTCGTCTGCTTCATTTAAAAATAAAATGAAGATAAAATGAAGATAGATAGTTGTGTTTGAACTAGTAAAAAGTAAAAAATTCATAGCTAGTTAAATCACAAATCACAACATGGGCAAATTTTATTTACACTTTTACACATGGAGGACGAGACAAAGGGTAATACAGATACGTCTCTCACCCAACTCAACAGCTGTTGTCGCCTACTTTTTACTCCTCATTTTT